AGTATTTACAAAGTCCTTTAAAAACTCTCAAAGAAAACAAAGTACTGCAGAGTTCTAAAAAAAATCAGCCAATAAACCCTGATAAAGACAATGATAAAAACAACAACAAAATGAACAATTTGAAAAGGAAATGCATATAAAAGCAAATGTGTAACGGGATATCATTCGGCATTTGCTGCACCTAAAAACAAGCAAAGGCAGATTTGATATAACTTACAAAATGGGCATCAAATTAATCCAGCAAAGTAGAAACAAAAGTATGGAATACTGTTCAAAGAAATGTCCAAGAATAATGAGCCTTATTTAAGAAGAAATCACTTCATTTATTATCAAATTTAAGGTCATTATGAATTCAGATTCCTAAATTTGGAATAGTTGGCTTAAAAAAGTAATGAAGCAAATCTATATCCAGGCAAGTAATTTTATTACCAAAGTTTTATTTTCACCAGAGCCTCATTGCATAAGTCAATTAGTCTAATGAGGTCACGTCTTGTGGTGCTTTCAAATTTAAGGTCTCAAACTCCAACCATAAGGCTACTGTCTGCCATTTCAAAAGTTTTAAATGGCATGCTAAATCTTTGTAAGGCTTTAAGAACAGCAGCTGATTTAATTTATCCTTTCTTCTAAGCATTTCGAAATCGTTTTGGAAATTTTGCTTGTGGGTTAACAGGTTAAGTGATGAACTGAAGGAGTACCCTTACTGCTAACTAGGAATGTAAATCTGTCATCTGCAAAACAGTGGAAGTGTATATATTCTTCCAAAGAGGTAGGCAGGGGAGGATGAGGATCTACAAATGCTGAGATAAAATTGACACCCTGACAAAAAGACCTTGACCAAACCAGAGCCATGCCCCTGACACCCGCTGCTCCAAAGAGCTTCAGAAATCACTGTCCAATTTGTGAAATGTAGCAAAGGCAAGACAGAAAAAAATTATTTGTATCACACAATTCAATACAAAGACAATGCAAAGTGCTTTACATGATTAAAATATGGGAAAATAAAACAGAATCAAAGCAAGTACAAAAAATAAATAAATAAATAAATAACAAACAGCTGCTAAATCTAACAACACATGAATGACTCAGTGACCAGAATCAGTAGCTATGTACTATGAACTAGGTTAGATTTATCAAAGATATCATAGGGACACACTCAGAGCAAGAGGCCATACACTAGGCTTTATAGACGGTATGATAGAGGCCTTTATAACAGTTACTGTATTGATTACCAATAAAAACTTTTCAGATTCTCACTTCAACAAAATCTTAGCTGACCCTTTAAGGAGAAATAGAATGGCTCCTTTGTTAAGGCTGTAATTTAGAAATTCATAATGCAAAATATATTTTTTACACTGCAGATGCTGAATAAAAGTTGTAAAATAACAAACATTTAACCTACCTAAGCTGGCACGTAATAAGTAATTATAAGTAATTGATGTCCATTCATCATTAGGGAGAGTGCAAGTCTTAGAAAGGCCGTAAAAATCTGGAATTTTACTTGCTGAAATTAAAACTAAAAAGAAAATAATTAAATACTGAATAATCTCTTCTTTTACAGACCCATGCACATGATCTAAACTATTACTGGGAAAGTTATAATCTTAAAAACAAACTTCATTTTTGAAAACTGCAACTATATCATAATGCATTTTTTTTTACTAGTCTTTTTATGTTTATCTTGTTTACATTAGGAATTTGCTGATTCTTCTTCTCTGGACCCGACTTTGTTGAATTATTCATGGAAACATCAGACTTGTACCGCGGCAGAAGGAAAAAAAAACCCTAAAGACTTAAACCCTCTAGAAAAAGTTTGACTTGTTTAAAAGTGAGTCATAGTGTTATATTATGTTGTTGCAATTTCCACAAGCTAACAAAATTACATCAGAGTTTATATTTGACATATGTAGATAATTTACAGAATCTATACAAGCTAGTTAAAACAGAAATGGATCAGGTTGGGCATGTCTGTACAGTGGACACTACAACCATGTGCCTAGAGCAGCATGAAAGTTTGAGTCCGCCCCTAACATCTGTATACTTTACTTTCAATAAACCAGCAAGTCGAGTACATATATCTGAAGTACCTCTGATATTTTGTCTAAAAGCTTTCTTTGGGTTTCTCCATGTTTTTCTTTTCACGAATGCCTTGTACTTGTACTTGACCTTTGAAACAAGCTTCACATTGTTTAAAAGTTGCAAACATTTAAATTAAAAGAAGAAGAAAGTATCAGAACTAAAGGGTTTATCTATTCAATTCAATTCAATTCAGTTTATTTATATAGCGCCAAATTCACAACACATGTCATCTCAAGGCACTTTACAGTTCAACCAGATCATACAGTCAAATTGATACAAAGTTTTCTATCTAAGGAAAACCAGTTGATTGCATTGACTCATTGACTCAAATACAATCCCCCACACTAAGCATGCTTGTAGCGACAGTGGAGAGGAAAAACTCCCTTTTAACAGGAAGAAACCTCCAGCAGAACCAGGCTCAGTGTGAGCGGCCATCTGCCGAGGCCGACTGGGGTTCAAGGAGACAGAAGCAGAGATACAAAAAGCAGCTGTAAAAGTCGGCCCCGTCCAGGAAACACACAGCCAGGCAGACGAGCTCCAAGGCAGCTCCCATGCCAGAGGACGAAGAGAGCACATCCACTCAGTCACGGTCAGAGAAACAGGACCACACTGGAAAACAGGCCGATCTCCAACATCTATTAACAAGGGTGTTGATAGAAGCAGCACAGCTGATGTTTTTTTCAGGATGACGTCACAGCCAAACAGGAACAGACGAGGCAAAGCTACTCTGAGGAAAAGCAGAGAGAGCAGAAGGTTAGAGATTGAACTAACAGATTCTATCTAACAGATTTATCTCTAGGGCATAAGCAGTAGTTGAAAGTCAAGTCTTTATAAGAGGAAAAATGTATCATACTTTGTATTCAGCTGAGTCAAAGCTTTAAAAATCTATTTTAAAGGTAACGGTAAATGGACAAAAAGAGTTGATTTTCCACAGAATCCATGTTGTGACATGTATCCACCCTAAAAATGATGTATTCAGTAAATTAAATTCGGATGTCAAAGATTCTTCCTACTATAAATAAGGTTGCACTTTACATCACGCAAGAATAACGACATATCTGCTTCATTCAAAGATAAGTTTTGAGTAAACCATTACTACAAAACATATACTTATAATAAATTATAAAAGCATAACTTTAAAAAGAAGCAGTGTATTCCTTAGCAGTCTATTTCACTCTTTTCTCACAGCACCTTAAGAATTTAGAGCATACCTCAAACCTTCTGCTTCCCACTCAGACACACTCACAGGAAAAAATACATACACACTAGGCTGTCAGTCCCCTCCTCAACCCACTCACATTCAAAAGGCCAGACAGGGTCAACCAAAGGGTGAGACATTTATGAGGTGTAGATATTTGTGCAGGAAGGCATCCCTCCTGTTGACTCTGAGAAACAAAATCTCAATGCTGACCAAGCGGATGGTGAAAAGTTGAGGCAGGCAGACACGTCTGTCGAGTGATATGTAACGGATCCTGCATTAAATATTTTTCTAAAAGGTACTTCAAATGAATAAGGTCTGAATGCATTTCCTTGATTAACTTATCCTCCTCAATGCTTGTATTATGTGCCAGAATTACCTGATTAGACCCCTGATGAATATTATGCTTACCATGTAAAAGGTAATGAACCAGGACTATTTCAAAACACATTAACCTTAACGCTCAGACACTTTAACCTTTTCCTCAACTCAAACACTGTGAGGAGTGCCTCTTACCCTCATGCTGCTGATGCAGGAAAGGCCGAGGATCGGACACGGGGCAGCGACCACAGTCAATGCAAAATGTTGTAGTGGTAAACAGAACTGTTTGTGTTCACTGAGCCGCTGCTGGAGATGACTGATGTGCCCATTAGCCCCTGTTTGGGCATGTGGGGGATGGGTGGTTGTGATGCTCTAGTTGCATGCAGGACAAAAAAGACCCCTGGGTTTGGAGAGAAAGGTCAGTGACCCATATTGTCTCCTCAACTCCAGGCATAGCCAGTGGTTATTTTACTGATTCAGGTTAGGGAAATTTTCTTTGTCAAAGCTGATGAGCATGTACACAAGCGGACAGATGCTGTAGGTTATGGCCTTTGTGTGTGGATAGAGGAATATACCTGCTGCTCCAGGCCATAAAAGAGAGAAGGGCACATGTTGCCAAAAGCATTTTGTGCTCTGGTGAAAAAAAATGCAAGGAAGCCAAAAAAGTATTTTAATTTGGGTAAAAAGCTATTTCCAATAATCTAGAAAGCTTTATTTTGCACAGGAGAGTACTTCACTTTACCTTAGTAATTTGCATTTACAGTACCTGGAATTTCTCCATCTATTTTACATTAGATTATTGAATCAGTATTAGTTCGAAAAAGAGATTTTGTTGTATTTGTAAATGATAGGAGGAAGTAAAACAAAACAAAAAAGATTTTAATGTTACATTCAACCAAAAAATGCAGCTATTATTATTCATATCTAAACATGAAAAATAATTAGTCTTGCAAATATTTTTTATTTTATTTTATTCTACATCTTTCCCTGATACATCAGTCAAAATGAGAAAACAAGGATATTTATTTGATGTAAGTGACTTACCAAGGAAGCTTTATGCGTTGCTGCAACAAATATCTCTTTTTACAGCAGAGCATTAAGTTCATATTTAGCGTCTAGTGTAAATAATCCAACCGCTTGCAGTTTTTTTTCCAAAAATTTGCCATATTCAATCTAAATTTTTATTGTATATTATCGGAATTTCCTGTGAGAGATCAACACAAAGTATTTCTTAAGAATAAAGTAGAAAGGATAAATGGCTATAATGCGTATAAGTGTGCCATTTCTTGTCCCTTTACACCAATACCTACCAGAAAGATAAATAGAATCAGTAAATTCAGTTCAGTTGTTTTTATTAAAATAAAAAAAAGTCCAAAAAAATCCCAAAAAGGTCTTCAGCCATAACTAAAGAAAAAGATCTTTATTGACTTACAATGACCTGCAACACAATTGAGTTTCACACGCTCACACACGCACGTAGAGACATTTTGGAAATGCTCATTCATAAACCCTTTTTTCTTGGACCAGTAATAAATTAATTACTTCCTATATTATTTTCGTAGATATAAAACAATATATCCAGTAACAGCAAAAGGGGACATTTAATAGAAAAGGTTTGAACAGGGCTTCTTAAAAGCCCCAGTATTTTATTTTATATTGAAGGTACACCTCGGGTACAACAACAGCAACATATCTATCAGATAAAACTAAAAATATTGGATATTTTGCTGAAAAATGGTATTTGAATTATGGTATTTCTTTTACCTTTCAAATGCTAATCAATATAAAGAAGAATTACCAAATTACCTTCCACAAACCAAATATGATACGCTTCTCTTTAACCAAAAGGAAATTCCCCGTTCATCACAAGAGAAACAGCAATAATAATGCTTTATTACTGTCCAGTTAATTTTCCTTGTTTGTGCTGAAATTTTTTATTACTCATTAAAAAAAGTTTAAAACTAGCAAAGGCAAATTTAGGAGAACAAAACTGGGTTTGACCTCAATGTGGTGATATGAAAGGAAAATGGTGATTGTTAGATGAGAGATTTACTGCCAAAAAAAATAAATAAAAAAATAAAAATAAACAGAGATTTAAAAAAAGCCACAAACAATTAGTAAAGACTGTTTTGTGGATTAGAAGAATCCAGTGTTGCTTTATTTCTTTTCACTAGATGGCCTCCATAGGACCAGAATGCAAATGCGACAGCACGGCAAAAAAACAGAAACAACAAAAAACAAAAACAAAAAAACATTACATTCTCATAAAACTCTCTTGGCATAAACAAACAGCAAATTTGACAATAAATAAAATGTTGGCAAACAAAATAAAACTTTAAACAACAAGGAATACTTAAGCTTGCATATCAGACAAAAAAAAAAAACAGAAAAGAAAATGTACTTGGCACAGATCAAATAAAATTCTCAGACTGAGTGAACCTACTTCATCCATTGTTTTGTGAATCTGATTGTCCTTCACAGTTAGCACTGAGATTCTGTATGGGCTGTACAAAACAGACACAGATGGCAAAATAACGTAAAATAATTAATTTCAAACATACTTTCAATATTTACCTTTGCCAGTACTTTGACTTTTAATTGTCACATCCCTAGAGATGGCATTTATTGTGCATATATTTGCACAGAACAAATCTGCAGGTACGAGTGCAACAAACCATTGTCACATTGCAGAGCAAATATACTTTATATGCACACAGTGGAGGACAAGCCTACTTAAAAGTTACCAGTGATTTCTTATCTGAATTTTGCACAGGTGCTTCAGCAATAATTTACATAAAGGAAATAAATTCTCGAAAGACACTTTGGTATTCTGTAGGCCATAATGTGCTAAACTATGCTCTGATGAGTGCAACACCCATTAAACACATTTTCACCCATTTTTTTATTTATTCGTGTGGACATGATTATAGTGATGCCAGGACACTCATCTCACACAAATATACTCAGAACGGTACACTCATTTTTGACCAGTGATACCTGTCCAATGGAATTCGTCGTGGGATGATGATAGATTATACATAAACTTAAAAAAAGAAGCTGCAAAAACAAAGTAACACTTAAAAGTAAAACACTTTTTTTTCTAACAGGATGATTACTTTCTTTGAGAAAGTGAGTCTTCTCCTGTTACAGATTAAATCCTTCTGTCTCTGTCTGTGCTCTCTCCGTCTCGGTCTGTCTCAGCAGGGTTTATGCAGTGCAACACTAACCTCTTTAATCTTGACTCCCCAAAAGCAGAAGAAAAAAAATAAAAACACAATACAATGTAGTCTACACCCATATAAAAATAAATCAATTGCAAACATGGAAAGATACATCTCATATATACAATAAACTCCAATATAAAATAGCTTTTATATACATATAGACAAAAGACAACAAAACGATAACTGAACTGTACAATGTATACCTGAACAGTTAAGACAGGTGAGAGGTACTGAAGTGTATGGCTTGGTTGGGGAAGATTTCAAAATATTTACAGACATTTTCAATTTTACAGTCTTTTACCATGACATGTTTTCAGTTCTCCTGGAATGAAAAAGGCATGAAGAAGCTCCACATGCCATAAGGTTTCCTTCCAATCACTCAGACAAGGCCAGCCTTTAGTAACTAAACAGTGAACATTTGGGCCTCGTGTTAATTTGCACCATCCAGTGCAATCTCAGCTCGCATCCTGTAACAATGGATAAGAGCCAATAGAAGAAGTCTTAAACCAGTTTTTAGTCTAGAAATCTTTTTTCTAGAAAAAAAATAACGGTTCATTATGGAATTGTCACACCACTTGTTCAAGTTTGTGATCCCCAGGAAGACCCGGACTTTTATAGATGCCAGCATACTCCAGTGTAATCGCAGAAAGCCCTGCTTTGGCAATCAACATTTAGTTAGCGGACCTTTCAGGCTCACCCGTACTGTTTTCAATTTGAAAACCTTCCTCCTAAGAAGTTCTTCAGTAGTGTTCCTATCGCAGCTCAGCACATGATGGAAACCCCTTCTGCAGTGACCAGCTGACCGGTGGTGGGGTCATATGTCCCAGCCAGGTAATAGAGGTCTGGATAAATACTGTTCGGTTTCTGATTTTGAGTCAGACACTCGTACTCCTCCCTGCTCACAACCCGGCACTTATGAGAGATTGTCTGGACATCGTTCTCATCCTCGTGACACGACTGGTAAAGGGCGTACTGTGTAGGAATAAAACAGACAACGTATTAATATAAATCAATAAATTTATAACTGTTAAATATATATATATATATATATATATATATATATATATATATATATATATATATATATATATATATATATATATATATATATATATATACACTTAAAACTACAGCTTCTAAGATGATAACATACCTTGCCATCGCGATGCCTCTTGCCTAGTTTGGTCTCCTCAGGGTGGTAGAACCATTTAACTTTGACAACCATTTTTGAGGTCCAGGATTCCCAGAAATTCTCGATTTGGCCCACATATGGGAGGTTAGGACGTCCAGCGGAGAGGAAAACTGCACAATCACCAACTCTTACGGTATCTCTTCCTCGTACAATTGCCTTGTAGAAAAGCTTTCTGGCCTTGCCCTTTAAGCCACGTCTCTGCAAAAATTAGAAAAACGATTGATGGTGCATTCTACTGTGAATCACATATTTGCAATCAAGGAAACTTGGTCAGTGTAGTAGAAATTTGTATTATCCTTCCCACCTGTGTAGGATTTCCTGACCACCTCCACATCTGCCTGCCAGCCAGGAATGCAGATACCTTGGGTCTTGGAATAAATGATGGGTCGTCAGGAAGCATCCGTGGTTTCTTCATGCATTCCTTTGTTGGTTTAGAGATTCCAGTTATGCATTCTTTTTTCTTTAAGGACTTGCTGTTGGACAGTTGTTCAGATGAGCCTCCTTTGGCACTAGAAACAGCCACGGCTTTGGCGACAAAGGAGTGCTGTTGAGGCCTTGAAGAAGTAGAAGGTTCAGACGACGGCAGCATCCCCTGGTGAGAGGACAGGCAACTCTGCAGCATCAGTGCTGAACTTTCCTCATCATCTGAACTGTAAGATGAATCGTTGTCAGATGAACACACACTGGAACTGGAGAGCGAGCCTGAAGAAGAAGAACTTGAAGAACCAGAAGAGGAGGAGGAGACAGAAAGGCGTGAAAGAAAACGGCCAGGCATCCTGAGTCTTCCTGTAGCTGCAGCCATTGCAGTCCGCCTCCTCTCTTCCTCTTCCTCCTCATCATCCAGGTCAGAGTATGAAGGGTGACTATCTCTGTGAGAACTGAAACCCAACTCGCCGTATTTCTCTTGTCGTAGAGAAGGAGAGGGCTTTCTTTGTGAATTTGCTCCTTTTAAGAGAAGTTCCACTCTGGAGGAACCACCTTTCTTGTTATCTTTAACTAACAGGACTGGATGAGAGTATGCCTCTGTTTTAGGCATACTACCCCCGCTAGAATGTTCGCTTCTCAACAGCAATGCCTTGCTGTTCTTTGTTTTGGGAGATGTCACTCCTTCATGATCCAATTTGATGAGAAACTCCTGCCCAGACTTTCTGCTTCTTGGTGCACCCAAATCATCTTGCCTTCGCTTCTCATTGTATATGCCTGTCCTTGGAACCAAAGATAAACCAGGGCCAGAAGACTGATTACAGAAGGAGGAATACCCATTTGCAATACTTCTAAAAGAATCCACTTCAAAGGAGCTGCTACTGAAAAGACCTTTGGTTGGTTGGGAGGCCATTGGCTGCATCTGAGAAATAGGAAACAAGGCATCCTCCTTCCCTCTTAACGCTTTCCTGGGAGCACCATTGAACTGAAAGGGACTGTCAGCAGGTCTCTTCCGGGAGTTAGCCAGCGAACCCCAACCCAGGAATGATGGAGGATATTTGTTGGCATTTTCTGCCTGCTGCTGCTTTTGTTTCTTCCCTGAGCCTTTTGGTCTCCCTAAAATAATCAAGAAAAAGTTAATACCTTACTTTTAGGTAACAAGTTACAAATTATGACACAGTCACAATCACCTCTTGTTGGGTCTAACTGATAATAACCTACAGATTTACTTAGGCGTATAACCATGCTAGTGAATAGGCTCATCACTTTTCAGTAATATCATACTGCTAACTACAATGCTGGAAATTAATCAGCTGATAAAGCAGTTACAGTAATATTCCTTCTGTCAGTCTTTCTGTAAGGGCAGGTGTTTTATAAGCCAAAGCAACAATACACTGCAATTCTGCGTGCATATTTGCTGATACTATTTAATTTTAAGCAATATTATTCAGAATCTGCCTGAAGCCCCTCATTAAAAAAACTAAATACTTTTTCTTATTTTTTTGAGTTTGTGTTGAAATAGTGTAATCTATACTTACTCATCACTAGAGTACAAAGTAGTTTACAGGTATTTTGCTTAAAGAGTTACTGAATAAAAGATAAATGCAGCCTGATTTCTGAGTCCGTCAACAATAAGAGGGATTACAACGGTTGCAAGATATATTATGCTGCTCAGAATTATATCTTACCAGGTCTTCTTTTGATAACAGTGAGGCTTGGGGTGTTTGGTACATAACCGGATGAGCCGAGTCTGTCAGAAGGCCTATCACTGATCGGGGCTTGCTCCAGACTGGAACTTCTCTTGGTTGATGTGCCACTCGGTACCAGCAGGGCAGGAGATGATTCCTCACCTTAAAAAAGGATTATAAAGAATTATGAGCTTTTCCTACAAAAATAAATACATCCATTGCAGGTATAATGAATGTAACACTTTTAAAATGTTTGTGTTTTATATATAATTTATATAATCCCTGTTTAGGGGTGTGATTTATTTTTTATTCTCCATTATGGTATTATCTTTCATGAGTAATCACATAGCAGCGTCTAGGGTAGGGATTCATACACGTGAGGTTCCAACTTAACAAAAATATCAAAAGGGTCTATAGGCACAGAAAATAATCACAGTTTCCGCCATGCTGCATACAAAGCTGCAGATAAATATCAACGAAAGATAACCATGCACTGGAACATAACTGCAGACACAGATACAAAATACCATCACACAATGATTTTGTTTGTTTAAAAAAGTTTTGGCTTAGTTTTTTTAATATACAAGTTATATCTGATGGGGAAATGTAATTATAGCCTGCGTTATTCTAAACATTATTGCAAGTTCCAGTAAGTGACATGCAATTTATAGTGGTTAACATACAGATTTGAAATGTTTAGAATAGCCATCAAGCTATATTTATAATGTCTAATTCATGTAAAGCACTCTGAATTGTCCATGTAGTACTGAATTGTGCTATACAAACAAACTTGCCATGCTTTGCCTTACATTTGAAGCCTGATTTGACTTCTTATGAAGCCCATGACTTCTGAAGACGCTTTACTCAATATTTCAAAGAACGAATAATCTATAAACCTGAATACCACATAGTGAGGATGTTAAAATCTCAGCTTGATAGTCAAATAAGCACAGATTCTTACCAAATTCTAGTAGTGAGATATCATGGGTGGATTAATATAAGACTTTTTGAAAAACAATAATTTCCTGTGAACACAAACTTTTGAAAAATCAGAGTGATGGACTTAGGCGAGTGTCCAAGTTTGCATATAAATTAAACCACTTGTTAAATGTAGGAGCCTCGAAAAAAGTATTGAATTTGCACTCTGGGAAGAGTCACTTCTTTTTGCGTATGATCATGCAGAGAAAATCACATGTAAAGGTATGTGTCCTATCCTACACTGATTAGGATCTTTAACTGTCTGCCTCTCTTTAGAGCGAAGATCATTTATGTAGGAAGTCTACACAAATCTTTTAACATGAAGCCATTGTTCATTTCATGTTAAAATAGTACAAATATTTACTTTCTTTTTGCAAAGATTATAAAAACTTTATTCAAAAATGTCCACCAACATTGAATCTGATATCCTGGAGGAAGAAGTCGGATGTTTGGGAGGGAAATCTTTCCTCGATCTCCATCATCAAATTCGACCATCACTCCCGGTTTCCCCTCATCAAATGAACCACCTGCAAGAGACAAAGCTGGTATTTTATTGCTAAGTAATAACTGCATGAATGCAGTTTAATGTGTATTGGATGTCTTACCTCTTCGAACGTAGCCTGGGTACAAACAGCGCGATCGTTCACTCCAATAAGCACACACTCTGGTTCCATCAGTCAGCACTGCCTCAGACTCTGGACGTATATCTAAGACCTGAAAAACAGACCAAAAGCATAATTAAGATTCATTACAGATTGCAGACAATGTCCTCTAACAAAGATGTGAATGCATACACACTCACACATACAAACAGTGTAAGAATAAAGGAGCATTGTGAATGGACAGCCACTGTGCCACGTTTCCAAGCCATCCTTATCTCATGCCAACGTGCCAGTCAGAGCTGAAAAGAGCGGAAGCCATGATGCAGTAAATCCTGACTTGCTGAGTAATACTAAAGAGGTTCTGAATAGAGGGCCTGTGATTGCAGGTTGCCAGATCCTCCCTCCAACAATGCAGCCAGTCTCAGCATCCGCCGCTCACTGGGGGCCTTTTCAGGTTGCTTTCATTTACTGTTGCCATGGCAAGGGACCTTTTGACTGATGAGGTGTGGATGTTGGAGCGTGTATAGGAGGGAGGGGAGGTGCTGGTGAGGAGGGATCAGTGAAAATTACAGCATTGGTGTCAGAGTCAAATAAATGGCTTTTGGACACCATTTAAAATTGAAGTATGACATAATTAGAAACAGCTGCTGTGTGTTGAGTGCTTAGATTTGAGAATGGTTGCCAGACATGGTGCTAAAATGGCGGGAGAGTTAAAAGCAAAAGAAAAAAAAAAGTACTTTGATCATGCAAGCAAGTTGAATTTGGCAAGTAAATTTGTGGTAAAACTAAAAGTGAATTACTGTCCAGTTAGGAGGCGTCATTCTCAACAAAATTTGGAAATTTTTGGTCTTTCAAGACAGTAACAAAAAACAGAAAAAAATACAAAGCCAAAAAAAGAATAAGTTTTAACATGTGCAGAACATCATAACTACATGTTTACAACTTAAATAGGAATTAATCTAAATTACTGTGACCAAACTACATAGATAAGATAATGAAACTAAGCATTTGTATTGTTATTTTATTAACTTCAAGAGGATGACTATATTTTGATTTAATTTGAAGATATAAGATGCCTTGTTTCAGTAATGTAATTATTACCAAACATATGCATGTAAGTTAATATAGGACAGTCTCTGATCATGAACTTTTGTTAATCCTACAATTTTTCGAAAAATACATTGAAGATGAGAAGAAAACAATCTCTCAAAGCAACATATCTTCCAACTTTTAACTTTCAGAGAAATTGTATTCTGTTTTTATTATTACAGTAGCATTTTACGACTATCTACTTTAATACTGGGCATAAATTATTTGAAAACAGTTGTAGTCAATCTTTATTCATAAGGCACTTTTCATTCAAAGCAAGGACAACACAAAGTGTTTTGCATAAGTATAAAGCGAAAGGCATCAAAAAACATTCAATTACAAAATATTATCTGTAAAAGTTCACAGAGGAAATCCTAGTTTGACCAAAGTGTTTTCATGATAGTGACTAGACATAAAACTGCTACAGAAAAAGTGTATTGAAGCAAAGATTATACAGAAAAGGGACAGGGAAAGAGTAAAAAAAAAAACTAGGTAAAAAAATGAAATAACACATTCTACATTTCATGTAAATTACTTTTATAATGCATTAGCAAAAAATAAAACAGATTAGAGAAATGAATCATATACAGGTCAAATTACCCAGTAAAATTTTGTGTTATTTCAATAAATAAGAACAAATAATATTAGTACCTAAAGTGGTAAAAACTAACACTTTTAAAATATCACTGAAATATAATAATTGGCACAATAATTAACCCTGATTAAAATGGTAACATGATTAAAATAGAAAAAACAATATTTTGCTATTTAATCTCCTCTAGGGCTGAACTATCTTTAGATATTTGTATTACTGGAAGCAGATTTAGATAACAGGCAGGATCACCCTTGTACAGCTAGCGTGACCTTTGAGCAGTTTCCTCTATTCGGATTACAGAAAAAACAAGTGACTACAATGCAAACAAGCAGCTTAAACTCTGCCTTAACTTATAGGTCACTCAAGTTAGGACACTATATTGTAGACACACCTAACGCCCCCATCCTGTTTGGCAATGTTGAAATCATCACCAGTAAGAGGAGATGTGGCCATTGATTTTGTTGACCAAGTGCAAAGAGACCATTGTCTAATTAAACATTAGCTAAATATTTATTTGTGTTGTAAAATGCATTTGTAATTTAAACTGGTCAAAAAGGCGAGCTCATGTATTTAAAACGATGTAATGTTAACATTTCAGCTAGAAAACAAGAATATACCCAGGTGTTGTGGGGGATTATCCCACCCACAGCTTAGTTTAACGGACATTCACAGTCACTCACATGCATAAAACTATAAACCCTGGCCATCTGTCTGTGCTGTTATACTGATTCAGTGACTCACAGAAAGAGAAAAGGGGAAAGAAAGAGTTGTACTGCTGCGAAAAGACTAGGCTTTGTTAAGAGAAATGAATCTGAAATGACTAAACAAGAGATGCTCTTTTTTTTGTGCTGTGTGGTAAACTTACGGCTTCCTTCAGCAGCTGCTCCAGTGAATAGATTCTTGGTCGGTTTCCCCTTTCACCATCGATAGCAATGCTGAAACTAAATGACAAACAGCACAGTACAGAGAGAAAAATAGATATAGTTATTTTCATAGGCTTGTATTATGTTTGCCTGGCTCCCATGTCATATGTTACTCCCACTCCGCCTTTGTTATAGCATCTCTTTGCTGCCTGAGCTAAAGGAGTGATATTGATATTCAGAGCTTGGTAAGAGATAATGTTTTTTGTAAGGAGAAAAAACACAGAAGGGGATAAAAAAATTCTAATGCTTGTCTTCTCTAGCTAATTTTTTGTTTTGTGTAACTGGCCTTTAGAAACGTTGGCCTTAAGAACATGCTTAGTGAACAAATATATATATATATATATATATATATATATATATATATATATATATATATATATATATATATATATATATATATATATATATATATATATACTATATATATGCTTAAGTGTCAACTTAGATGACTTTGCCTTCATGAATTTTTAAAAAGCTGGTAGGATGCTCTGATCTACTTACATGTCTGGGATCTCTAGGGTGTGGACCCTGGCAGCATATAGAAGCTCATCCTCCTTGGAGATCAGGACCTTCAGTCCATCACATAGGTGTTCTTTGGTCAGGATGCAGCTAGGTACTGTAGATGTAAACATTACATATTTATTATCAACAAAACGCAGCTTCAAATTCTCTTAAGTTTAACTGAAACCAGACATATGTTGTATGCAAAATTACATAATTTTTTGGGGGGTTTTCTAAATACCTGAGATTAAATTAGATGAGAATTTACCTGGCACATTTATTCCTTATGTTCATAACAGAGTACTTCGCTTTCAAATTGCAGGTTTACTTATAGTTAAATAAATTTCTAAAATTTCTAAAATGACAGACAGATATTTTATATATCGGGCTCCTCTCCCGTGGAACCAGTTTTAGTTTGTGAGGCAGTTATCTCTATAGTTATGCTGCTATAGGCTTGTGCTGCTGGAGGACATGGGCACCACTTTTCATCATTCTGCTTGATGTATCTCAAACCTCAAACTCTGGAGTGTTAGTTAGTTTAACCCCTAGCATTATGATCTATATGCTTTTTCTTTTCATATTAGCTTAATCTGGTGTGGTTCTGTTTGGTTTTTATTTCATCCTGGATAGAAACATCAGCTTGGCTGCTATCATCTGCTGTCTTCATTTATAGATGATAGAGTTAGTCATACTTTTTGTGCGTGGCTCTGTATTAATGGGACTAACTCAATGTGCTCTCTTTCACCCCTTTTGGCATAAAAAAATGCTCACAGTGCATCTGCTTGATTGCTTCTCTCCTAAACATCCCTACCTATGGATGTAGTTTACAGTTACCTTATCTAACAAAACTGTACTTATGGATCAGTGCTTCTATGTTTCTTTGTATGTCTACTTCTGTCTCCTTGACACACAAATCAGCCTTAGCAGAAGGGCCCCTCGCACTGACTCTGTTTCTGCTGGATGCTCCATCCTGTTAAAACTGAGTTTTTCTCTCCGCTGTTACATTGTGCATGCTCAGTGTGAGGGATTGCTCCAGACTCAATAATACAGTCTAACCAAACTGTCATCAAATGCTCATCCAGGAAGAGAGAATCTTAAATATGAGTCATAATGGACAAAATAAGAGATCTACAAGACTGTGGTACAATTTAATTTAAACTGACCTAAAGATGTAATATAAAACTTTATTTTGTATGCAAAAATATATTGTTTCATCTATCAAATCTACGGTACTAACTTTTCAGGTTTCTCTTGTTTGGAACACTGCGGTCCTCCTCCTCCTCCGAGAAGCTGCTGCCATCTATCTGAAAGCCCTCATCAGCAACAAAGCTCTCCAGAAGACGACTTACAGCTCGTCCTTTCGACTGCAAATAAAAAAATGTAAAGATCAAAAATCAGCATAAGTTAAAGAATGGAAATACGTTTGAAATGTTCAAAAAAGTTGAACCTCTTTTGGTTAGTACTCATTATGCTTAGATACTTTAAATAAACTATAGGCAGACTGTTGGTATTAAGTTTACATGTTCTTTTTTCAATTTAGTGAATTATACATGGTTGTTACCTGTTGGTCCATGCTTTTTCCATCATCACCCTGTGTGGACAATGTTCCGACTGACCAGCAGCATCTCCTCTGATAAAATCAAATGAGATCTGATATTAAGATTTGTTCATGATGTCTGACATCGTTTTTTGCGTTGAAAAGGTAATTTTATAGGTGCACTTAAAATCTTTGTTAGGAGTTACGTTACTTCAAGGTTGGCTAAATATTGTGCATGCAAAAGAAGTGTCCATTTTTATCTATGTGTTTGCTTTTGACATGCCATTCCAATAACACAAGTTATACTGATAATGAAATAATAAAGGTAGCTATAATACCTTACTGATTGTTCCTCTCAACATTGTGCTCTTGCGTGTTGCCCTCTTCAGCCTTTCACTAGTTGTCGGGAATGTGGCCATTCCAAAAGCCTTCCTATAACGGCTGCCCCTGGTCCCTAGGCTCCCCCACCTGGATTCCTTCGATTTGGTTCCACATTGTTTCCTTCCTCCCTCAGGCCGCTGATGCTGGTGGTTTTTCACAGCAGGGACGATGCCCTGCCTATTTTTGGGTTTCTTCTTTACTTTGACTTCACCCTCTGCAATTGATAGAATCTGGGAGCCTATGTGGTTCAATAAGAGACTCAGATTCAGACAAAATTGACAAGAGATTCATAGGACACCAAAAGAATGATTGCAACAAGGACCTGGGGAATCTTTGTGAACTTAGTGCCTTGCAAAAAAAAGCATACCCCTAGAAATTTTTTATATATTGTAAAGGTACAGCCACACACTTGCTAAACTTGATGTTTATGCCAAAATGATTAGTCTTTTAAAGGTATTGCTTGTATCTGCCCACAGTTCCATCAACACTTAGCAGCTTCTATTGCTTAAGAGAAAGGATCCCCACACACTGAACTGGACAATTGGTTGATGTGTTCAAATGATGTGCACCACAACCTCTTAGGGGCCCCATCACTGACACCTGGTAGGCCCCCTACTTAATTGTAGACTAGGATGTCTCTTTGCAGATGTAATGGTGTGAAAAATTCCTCTTAAACCCACCTGATACTGAAGTGACTGACTGCAATGGACCGTATTTATACCGCAGTACATGCCAGATTTCAACAATATGGTGAGCCATTTAAAAACGGCACCAATAGCAAATCAAACAGTGGTACTTTTAATTACTATGTTAGTAACTGTGTATAGCTCATTATTGTATAATTAATTGTATCTTCTTGGCTGATTTATGGAACTGTCTCCGTATCCTGAACCTTTATCACGTGTTGTGCTTCATATGGGGCCCACCCAGATAATGTTGCTTACGGGCCTATTGTTGTGACGTTACGCCATTGGTTTTAATCCATTTATAGGTGTCAAAAAAAAAAAATCCAGGTATTAGTGATATACCCTAAATTGTATGACTCATAGCTGTCTTTTAACAAATTCCTCCACCTGGGGCATGAATGTTAACCTGACAACAGCCAGATGCATGTCTAGCTCCGCCTAGCTCCACTGACATACATCTGGGACACCGCTCATTGAAAGTGATTTCCCCAAACAAATTTATGGTCTGGCCAATCAGGACGCAGGGCGGGTGTTTCCTGAATGTGACGTAGTGGAGAAGCGAGCGTGAGATTCCAATAACAATGGCAGCTCGCATCGAGGAAGCAAGCGTTAGCATTGATGCTGCTATTTCTTCTGTGTTCTCCAATCTATCTGATATTGTTTCATTAAAAGAACATCAGAGAACGGCTTTGAAGGCTCTTCTCACAGCGTCACGGGTTAGCTTCGGTGTGAGTGGTTGAAATAGCACGTCGATAAAGATGACAGAGAAGTGGCTTATCCAATCATATGCAAGGAGTTTTGATAGGGCCCAGCCTTCAGTAAAGGCAATTCCTATGGCGGTGTCCCAGATGTATGTGAGTGGAGCTAGGCGGAGCTAGACATGCATCTGGCTGTTGTCAGGTTACATGAATGTATGCTGTTCCTTCAGTGTTTCTCTGATTTAAACTCTTTATATGTTCAAATTTGTGGTTGACAAAATTGTAAACAATCCAAGGTGAGTCATTTCTGTTGAAAGCTTGATAGATTCACAAGGAAAACTCACCATACATTTCCTGCCTCTGTTTTTTGTTCCTGGCTTTCTGATTTGCTTCCAGTTTCACAATAGATGAAGGACTGGGGCCCATCATGGAGGAGCTTGAAGTGATTTCTCTTGAAGGTTGGCTTCGGAAATCATGACCTTCATCTGTTTCATAACTGCCCTCTTCATCTTCGTCTTCTAATAATTAAAGCAAGGATTGTGTCACTTCCTTATAAACAAATTTATCATGCTCATTTATACCAAAATATGTAGTTTCCTTGCAGCTCTATAAAGCAAAGTCGGTCATTTCACACAGATACTCCATTTGTGTTTTGTACAAAGCTTATAAAGATGATGTATGAAGTGCTTGGCTTCAGTATTATTTCCTGGTGTGAACCAACACATTTGGCCTGTGTGTGTGTTATTGTCATGACAGCTCTTGACCCAGTCCGCGAGTCTCCAGGCCTGTCAAAGTCTCTCACAGCCAAGTGTCCACAGCTGTGGCAGCACGTCTAACCCAAAGCAGCCAACAAGGCCAATCAGAGAGGTGTTGGATATCCATAAACACTCCAGCCTGTTGCAATAGTCATCAACACCCTTTCTTACACTCATCCATTATTGGGTTTGAAGGGATTTAGGTATGTAGAAAATTGAGGCTCATTGTTCAGAAAATACTTAATCCTCCAATTGATGGGTATATAAGTTGGGATTTGATTATTTTTTTTTGCTTCTTTGATAGAAAAGTGCCGTTTATTCACAGCAGTGTTTATCCTTTCATGACTTTCTAGGGCTTTAAAGGTCACATTAATGCTAGTTCATCTCTAACTTAAATTGTAAAGTTAATACCAATAAAAACACAAAGACACTTTTGAGTATGGTCAAGTTTTTTTTACATCTTTAAAGGTAAAATCACAAAATAAGATGAGTAAAGATTATAACAAAACTGTGGCCAATTTGGATTTTCTGATCCGATCCAGGGTATGGTTTCAGATTCCCCAAGAAGGCATTTTATTTGATCAGTATTAGAACTCCTGTCCGGATATTGATGGTAAACTTCATTTCAAAAGCTGACCATTTACCCTTTAAACCCTGAGTTGAAAGGCCAGTTTCTAAAAAATCATACCCATTTTTGCTATTTTTTCAAAGCTGTATCATCGGTCATAAAATAAAATTTCCCAAAACTTTAAGTTATTTTCACGATGACATCAAACACTATAACATGGTACCAGGCTGTTACAAGCTGTCAAAACTGGGAGCAAACATATTGACTGAGCACCTCTGCAAATTGCACACAAACATGTTAGCAGAAGATGTAGCAGTCAAAACAAGGGCTGCTGTGTCCCAAAAATATTTGGAAAGTAAGTTTGATACTATTCCCTTACGAGTGTAAGTCATTGAAATGAAATGTAAAATTGTTTTCCACTGTACGCTGTTCCACTGTAAGCATGACCACTTATAAAGAACAGTCCTTGCATGGATTCTAATTAGGCTTGAAATCAGAAAAATACTGTATTCAAATAATTCTGCTAATAATCATAGAAAATACTTTCTTAACGGACAAACCTTGTTAAAAGGAATGATGTGCAATTAATACAATGTAATTATTCTCACCTTGGTCAGAGGAGTCACTTTCTGCTGAGGAGCTTTCTTCCTCCTTTCCTGCTTCCTGCCTCTGACCACGTGGAACCTTTGATCGGTTCTGGCTAAAATAGGAGGAACCCTGTGTCTGCATGGATGCTTTCTTACTTCCAAGCCTCCCCTGTCCTGACCAGCTTTCTTGGGTAGTACTGTCCATGCTGGCTGCTGTGCAGTACCAAAAAAAACAAAACAAAAAGGAATTTTGACATTATTGGCAAAATAAAGGTTATCCCAGCATGTAAAAGGACTATAAGTACATTAAACTAAACTAATACCTGTGTCACTTTGTCCTCCAGACTCTCGCCTGGATTCACTTTTGATTCCACCCTGACTTCTTTGTGCATGCTTGAGGTTTGAGCTGGAAGGTGAGCCTTCTTTGTCCCTTGAGCCTGTTCCTGAGAGACTCCTCTTAGCTGGGCCCTTCTGTTTGAGAGGAGCTACATCACCAGCCAGCTTGGAGCTGAGCACGCTGTGAACACTGCTTTTTCTGCAGCTCTGCACTTTTATCTGTTACAAAAGAGAGACATGAGAGAGACAGAGAAAGCCAGTTACACTCTCAGTTATAGAAGCCACAAAAGCTTCTGAATGTCAGACCCCTCATTTGCACATTTACAGAGAACAAAACAGCAGCAGAAGCCTTAAATGAAATAGACATTAATATGGAGAAGAGTGTGTTTGACTCCCGAGGGTAGCACCTAATTAGAAATAGTGTGCAACAAAGGAATATATCAAATGTAAAGTAACAAAGAGAGCAGCCTTTTTCATTTCTGGTTGGACACAGGACAAAAGGGAACAGGACAAGAGGACCCTGACCTGTGCACTGCTGAGCCGCTCAAAGCCTTGACCAGACAGCCTCTTCTTCTTTCTCTGGGTCTCTCCGCCCCCTCCTAGGTCATCAGGCGATGAGCTGAGCCCCACCCCCGCCGACCTGCCAGTCAAAACATAAGAAAGACATTTATCAGAGAGAGAGAGAATGGTGTTGGTTTGACAAAAAAAAAAATAGGATAAAATTCAATACAGATAAAAACACAGTTTGAATCACCTCTCTGTGGGATCTAATAACAGTCCCTGTCTATGTCTGGTTTAGAGAGGGACAAAAAAGGACAAGGAGGGCTCAGTGTCTGAGACACAGTTGACAAACTGTGCTCTGTTAGAGATTGTTGGAGGGTAGCAAGGAATACGAGGGAATAATGCTCATCAAGGGAAGGACTTGTATGACTTTTAGAAACAGCATCTCTTTAAAAGCTACAGTTTTTTTATCTTTTTTCTTTTAAATATCGATTAGGTACAAACTAAGGAGCATCACAGGTGAACCACTAATCGACTAATTACCAGTATCATGGTATTCTAGTGGTTTAAATAGTAATCACACTAAAAAAATCTTAAAAGATGTTATTCTGCCTTAAAATGAAAGAAATATCCAATTAATTAAATCTTCAGTAAGGAAAATTAGAGTCACCACGTTTATATGGACACAGGTCATCAGAATAAACGCCTGCTCAAAAAATATGTCAGGTAAACACAACTGTCGTAATATTCTGATTAGACTCGGGTGGAATGATGGATGATTATTGGAATGGAATTGCAATCTGACTGATAGAGTTGATTTATGCCCATGGACAATCTGAATGGCGTCCAAGTAAGACTTGTCAGAATCAACCTATTCTGAATGAAGCAAACTGACCTGAGTGTGCTGTCTCTCTGACAGTGTCAAAAGACACTGTCAAAAGATGCTTTTCATGTTACATTTTTTGTACGATCTACGGATCTATTCCAATTACTTCAGCCCAGGAGTCTCAGGTCTAGTTCTCAACATCTACTGTCCAATAGGATTTAGATGCATCCCTGCTCCAAAATAGCTGAATCAAAATGACTGGCTTGGTATCAGGTCTTTGTCAAACATGATGGTGCCAGTATGCATCTAAAACCTGCAGGATAGTAGATCTTAATGACCAGGATATGAGACCCCTTCTGTAGTCCATATAAATTGTACAATGCAATTGTTTTTTTGTTTTTTAATCCAAACAGATTTCCCCCAAAACTAATCTTTGCATGTAAACATACATATTAAAAGAAATAAGGTAGATGAGAAAGAAACTGTGGTCCCTTCATCTTAACGTAGTTTTGGAAACAGGGGGTGCAAAGAGAGCTGCAGATAAAATTAAAAAATTCATAGCGCTTTACTTTCAAGATATCCAAAATTTTATGTAAGAAAAGAAACACCCAACAGATCTTCTGTCCACACATTATTAAGATATTATTATCCGAATTATCAATGGGTAGCACATACAACGTCTTTGTAGAAAAATATAGAAAGCTACAACATATTCTTACGGTGGAGTTAATTATTTTTAAATACACTGAACTATAAATTCGAAGCTAAAAGTTCTGACTGTTATAGCAACTTTTTTTAAATTCTAAATCTTTCTAAAGCCTTTTTACCGAAATCAAAACAACAAAAATGAGTTACCATTACAGAAAGAAAAGAGATTCCCCCCTGAATGCTCAAAGACTATATCGTTACAAACAAGAGCACAAACAATTGATGCTTAGTTTCAGTTAGGTTTATAAAATTTACTACATTCAGCAAATTTGATTTGGTCTTGGTTTGCATATCCCTCCACATAAAACACATATTAAAATGTCTGTGTGAGCATTGCCTGTAAAAATCCCATAATTAGCTCGTATGAAAATGCACCTGCAATCCAAGAAAAAGAAAAAAAATGTGTGTGTGCCTGTTTTGTGGAAGTGGGTATTGTGGCAGTTGGACTGTCTTCTCTTCCTACTGACAGACTGAGTGACAGAGGAACCAGTGATGTGCGAGCTGTCCCTATGAGGCAGATCCTGGCTCTCCGTCGCTGACAAACACAATGAGACACAGTGACTCCTATCTTTGGGGGGGGGGCTTCGGGGCTGAGCATACAGTGGCTAATTAACAGAATTGATTAGTGCCAGCAAGTGGTAACATAACTCAACCCCTTAAAAAAATAATAACGAAAGAAGAAAATATATCAAAGCTTTACAACAAAGCACCCGCAGTGCTCACAGGAAGAGGGGATGTGTGGAAAAAAAGCTAACAATTCTGGCATAAATCCTCATACAGCTGTAACTACATATAATTGCACAGATCTCCATTCGGTGGAAGGGATGCTTCAGTGCAGCAAACAAAAGTGAACACAGCCTTCAGGGTTGCCTTGAAAAGAAAAAAAATGTGTTGTACACGTGAGCGACGATGAGGGGTTTACTGTATCCTGACCTGTACAAATAAGACTCCTGTCCTCTGTACTTCCCTACAGGGAAATGCTTCGTTACCTTTTCATCTTGGTGTCATTGTCACCCATCATCACTGTCCCCTATCTGATTACTGCTTGCATGGTGAGGGGCCAAAGGTGCACAGGTGGATGCAAAATGGAAGTGACATTCCGTAGGGACAGCTGGGAACGATGTGGACTGTTGCCCAGGAACAGACAAAAGATGGGGTGTAGATAGAGAAAAGGAAATGCCATAAGGTGGCATGTTGTGTCTGAATCCCATGACAAGGCTCATCAGAGCCTATTTGGAAATCTTTAGACTCTCAGCATCTTGGTTTAGCAGTTCCCTGGCAACTGCTGCCAAACATATATCTATTACAGAAAAAAAATGCTTTAGAGAATCTATCTCCTTTTTGCTCGGACATTAACAAATTTCTTCAAATAAGCATTCAAATATTAACTTGACTTTTGAACCCTGTGATGTCATGATAAAAATTATGTCTCACAAACCTGCAGCCACATACAAGTAAAAAGAAAGTTTATATAAACAGGCTGGTTGGTTAAAGATCAAATCATAAATTTTCTGTTTTATTACAGTTTACTTTCATAACAGTTGGTGCTCCTCCATATATTTACCATTTCTCACATTTGTCAAAGTTTATTAGTCACATAAGTTCGGTTAAGTTGTAAGTATGTTTAGCAAACTCTGAATATTTATGTTTGTGTTGACAGGACAGAAAGTATCACTGCTAAGGAACCATTCTTTGCTGCAGGTCTCCAAATGTTAAAATTAAAGCCTCCTGCTGTCAGGGCAGAAAACACATACAACATGCAATGCAAAGCACCCTTACGGTGCCATTGTTTATTTGATTAAAAAGGTTCAAGTAACGAAGGAAGGATCCTAAAGTTTTCCATATCCTGTTTATGCCAATGAGGGACTTCCCTGTTTGCTGCTGATTTCATTAAAGCTTTGATTACAGTTGGACAGTAGAGATGCACTGATTTACACCTACTTGACTTTTCTCTGGCCCTCATTTGAGGACACAGGACATGTGTTTGAGGTGGGTTTCCTCTTCCTTGGACGCCCAGGTCCTCGTCTTGCAGGGCTACGAGGTGTTTCCTCCTTCCTGTATACACCACAGATGTAAACACTCAAGAAAAAGAAAGAACATTCATGCATTCAATGCATACTTTTATTAGCTAAAGAGAATTGTGGAACCTTCTTTAACAGTGCAAGCATGTTAGTTTTAGTTAAAAACTGATTTAGATGTTTCTACTTGAAAGCTTTTGAAACTTGAGGGAAAGAACTCACTGATGATCGTGCTTCCTCTGAAGTTTGGCCAGCTCCTTTTGTTTCTCTTTGTAGCGCCGCTGTATCTCAGCCAATTTTACACGCATTGCAAGCTCAGGGCCATCCATTGTTTCCATGCTAACTTTAGCTGGGCATACCTTAAACATTAAGAGGGAATAAGCAAATATTTCAGGTAAAGCTTAACACAGACTTTGCAGCTGATTTATTAGTAGGACAAAAACATTCAGTGCAGATCTGATTGTGACAATCTGCAGGGTTGAATTATTTAGAAAACATCTCAAATTTATGACTAACGTTAACCTGAATTTATTGATTGATAATAAAATCAAATAGGAGAAGATTTGGACATTTGTTGTGAATGAATGCTTGAAAAATAACCGAATTGAAAGATCCAACTTCTTAATCAGTTTAAGTCTTACTGGTTCATTGCGAGGTGCCCAGCTGAACTTTCTCCGTAAATTGAAGATCCTACGAGCTGGAAAGTTTTGTTCTGGATCAGTTTTACTGCTTTTCTGGGATCCCGCCTCCAAGGCACGGGCTGTGGCCAGGGTGGCAAGGCTTTGAAGATCAAACATGAGCAGATCCTCCTCTGAGGAAAAAAAATATTAAAAATTAAAACTGCATATAAATCCGTGAAATACAGCTTAAAAAGCAGACAAGCGGCCATCAGAACTTCTCATACATAATTGTTGCCTTGGATCCCAAAATGAATAAATAAAAATCTTTTTTGCTTTCCTTTTTTTTTTTTGGTGAAGACCGTTTTTGTGTCTCTAAACTGATTTGAGCTGTCAACAGTATGGCATCATGAGAATGACGTTTATTGTAGTAGGGTCATATGATGTGTGTTTTAGAATCCTCATGAGGGAGCAGTTAAATGCATTATGACACTGTGGTGAAAACAAAACATTCTTTTGCATGAATAAAAAAATGCATGGTTCGTTGAACAGTGAGAACGTCTTTAAAGGCACTTTAGACAATAGGGTCTAAGTAGCGAGGCAGTGTTGTGTCTGAGAGAAATGGAAACAAACTGATGTGCCTCCTTTTTAATTAAACTGCGTGTGTGCGTGTGGATCAAACAACTGCCGAATGGTGAGACTGTGAGCTTCCTAGGCTGGACATGAGAGAGACTAGCAAGAAAGGGAGGTATACACCCTTTCCTCAGGGATCTGCAGTGCACTATGTTTTCTCCTTCCTCTCTTGAGGCTTTTTCATCTTTAAAACTAGCTTTTAGGACATAAAAAGTGCCTTTAACATGCAATAGAGAAGCAACACGGAGCAAGCATTAAATGAGCCTCTCTGGGGACATGTTAAAGTCCATCAAATGCTCATCAGACCAGCATGAATAGATGAATATCTGTGAGGAAGCTTGTAGGCCTGAAAGCCTGTCTCAGTGGAAAGAGAAAAAGAAAGAAGGGAAAGAGTGTGTTTTTCTGTGTATGTCAATGCCTGTCAATACAGCCCTTAGATTTTTGTATTTTTCAGTCGTCCATGTTTTACCCAAAAAAGTCTGTACTCTGTAAGAGTTTAGTAAAAAACACAGTTCTTGTAAGTATTTATATTCAGTCCCTCCGAACCTTTTCTGTGTGGTTCTAGCAGTGTTTTTCTAAACATCTCAAACTTACATACATTTGGATGGAGAGCATCTTTGTACCTCAGCTTTTAAATCTTGGCCCAGATTAACAACTGGACTTTGACTGGACCATCAAAACTCATGACTACTTTGCACTGCAGGTTATACCTGCCGGTATGCTTAGAGCTAACATCTAACTTGTGAACAGTATGCAGCCATAAAAATAACTCCATCTCTCTAACAGCTCTGACCAGCTTTATGCACATCAAAGAAAAACAACCCCACAGCACAATACTGCACACACCATGTTTCAACCTGGTGACAGTCTGCTAACATTTATGTGCAGTGTTAAGGCTGATTTATACTTCCAAAATAGGTCGGCTGCGTAGGTGTCGCTGCGCCTCTCCCAAAATGTAGACAGTGCCGCAGACAGTAGGCCGGCTTGTTTGGTTTTTATGACCGCAATTGCAGAAATTGACTCGTGAAGATGGACAAGCTAGACGGGTGAGGTGTGCAGGAACGCTAGGGCCCTTTTTCCACCTGGATCCCTGCTCTTTTTCGCCCTCATGTCCGTTTTCAGACAAACTTGCCCCCACTTCCTCACTGCCTCGGCCATATCTAGACCCACAACGAATTGAGCATAAATAAAAAATGTCTGCATCAAACTCACTGCGACACACTGCTGCGGGGAGTATAACCAGCCTTTTAGAGTTACATTTTACTCTTATCTGACCCGACAACCTTCTCCTTCATGTTTACTGTGCCCCATACATGGTTTATGGCACACAGCAAATTAATCAATTAATGAATGCCTAGCAGTGTAATTTAGTCAGATGAAAATCTCTTAACAAGATATAAAAATAACACTCATATTCAAACTCAGGTGTGCTATGTATGTGTGTATGTGTCTTTTGAAGGCCATTGGGTACACTTCATTCAAGCGTATCACAATAGATGGAGCTGAATCCAAATGCAATATTAAACCCTATTCGACTTTTGTAAAAATGAACAAATATATAAAATAAACAAGAAAAAGTATAATTTTCCTACCACTTTAAAGCCCAATAAAAAACAGTAAAGTTTGTGGTTCTAAAAGAATAAAAAAAAAGTACTTCAAGAGAGATAGCTGCATTTGCAAGGCAGAGTAGGTGTGAGTTATGGAGGACCTGCTTCTGCTCACCTGCGGTTTTCCCACAGACATGCTTCATCTGCTGAAGCTCCAGATCTGCCAGCTCACTTAGAAGCTCCATACCCTGGTTGGGAATGCTCTTTGACGGCACAGTTGATGGTGTGCTATGGGAATACAAGGGAAATGGGGGTACATCTGTGCAAAAAGCAGCAGCAATCAGTAGCTCCAGACTCCAGTAGCAGGGCACATAAGGTTTCTGGGGCACAGTAACAGTTTCTTCACTACAGGCAGAACCTGAGGCAGGTGAAGGACACAGACATTCCACTGATGCATCCTCTGGGGTCATCTTGTTCTCGTGCTCAATCTCCTTTGCTACCGCTGGCTCTGTGCATGACGACTCAATGGCAGCAGGGGACGCAGGGTCAAGCTCTATGATAGCAGGCAACACTGTTTCCTGCTCTGCTTTCAAGTTGACCTTTTGATCATGTACCACCTGACTCTCCTCACCCACTGGCTCATCATCATCTTCCTCCACTAAAGTAATGACAGCCTCTGGCCCAGTGGGTTGCTCTGTCGTGAGTGGACAGGGACAGGAAGCCATCTCAGACTCTGAACTCACAGCAGGGGGGGCAGTCACCACATCTGCCTCAGCTGAATCCGCTACATTTGCCCCCTCTTCTTCAGGCATATAGTTGGCTGATGTCATCACTGTGACATCCACCTCCTCCCTCAGTTCAAGAGTTCTTTCATTCACACTTTCCTCCTCTCCTGGCTCTACTTCCTTGAGTGGGAGTGGTTCTGCAAGGGACATAACTGGCACTTGACAGTCTAACTCCTCTCCTAGACTAGAAAGAGTCTGGGGACCATTTGCATCAGGTTCTGTCTGGACCGCTTCCAAATGGGCTGCCTCAGCCAGGCGAACGTTCTGTGGGGATGCTCCGTTCCTGTAGCCCAGGGTAATAGCTGGGTAAGTATATCCAGGAGGCAAATCTGAAAATTAAAAGAATGGTGAATGATAATTAAGCAAATTAGAAAAAGTTGTATGTTTTTGCACATATTTTGAAAAGTGTAAACAACTTGATGAAGATATTATACATTTGATGGATTAAAACCAATATCAACTTTATGTAAACAAGTATATTTATGGGGAGCAGAAGGTTATGGTGCTGATGAAGCCCAGATAGCTTTAATATACATTCCTAAGATGATCTATTATGTTATAGAGAATTAAAAATCCCTTAGAGACTCAGACCAAATAACTGGCCAGCCAATGATGGTGAGGTCTTGGCTGCTATAGTAAGCACTGGTACTATTGGCAGTGTGGACGAGGCTAGACTGACCCCCACAGAGGATATGGCTCGTCAAGTCTTTACTAACTGGAAAGTTCACTCTGGACCTCAGGCATTTTGGATTTTGTGTCTTCACTGTCTTACCCCAAAGTAGATATAGTCTGGGTAAGACAGATCTTTGGATAAATGGTGTAAAAGTCCAATCATCTTATCAATTCACTTTTGTGGAATCTAACAACAATCCCATTAGTCTTCCCAGTGATTAAAGCGCAATTACTTTTAGTTTGTGCAATAAGTGGGTGTGTTGCCGGTGGTTTTCAAGATTGTTGCTCAAAGTTGAGACATGCAAATCAGGATTTCATTCCTTCCATTACAAATGAGCAGATTGGATGTTCTAGTGGAATAAAATAAAGATAAGTCAAAGCCATGTAGTTGGAACTATTGAAAAAATATTAATGATAATAGGAAATATTTACAGTGCAGCTCACATCGGTAGTCTATCTCATAGTGCTACAAACAAAATAGGAAAAAAAAATACAACAACCAAAATTATAACCATAATTCATCTATGGAAAAAAATCCCTGATGTGCCCACTCACTTTCACCCCCCCATACATAAATTAATTTTTCCATTGCTTACCAGGTTCCAGAGACTCTGGGTAATCTTGAGGGGCCTGTCCCTCGATTCTCTTGTCTTGGGATTCAGGATCCTTGAGCATCTGAGGAGGTGCAGGACTAATTGCAGGGGAGTGAGGTGTCGCTGCCATCGGGCTGGGTGCTGGGCAGGGTGTAGAAGGAGTACTCCTGGGATGTTGGCGGAGTGAGGGGGACTGGTAACAAGGGGACAAGTGAGTGGCACAGGCCCCAGGGGGTGAGGTGCTTCTCTGTGGGGGGTTATAAGAGTAGCTCTTTGCAGGTTTGGATGATCTTGGCTCTGTTATCAGTTCTTCTAATTCATTTGATGGTTCTTCCGGTCTCTTGTGTATCTGACATATCAAAATGCTTAGTTTTATGTACATTTCACATGGTTTCGATATAATTATGTAAACTTATTCAGACTCAATACCCACCTGTTCATTGTGTGTGGCTTGATGCTGCATGTTGTGTGTAGCTCTGTGTTGCTGCTGAGGCTGAGACGGTAGTTGCAACTGCTGCGACTGGTGACTCTGGTGCTGATGCTGGAGCTGTTGGTGCTGCTGGAAGGCATATAGCTCCTGTTGCCGTAGAAACTGAGATCGGGAATACACAGCAGGATGTTGGATATGGGAGGTTGGTCCCCGTGCGCCATAGACAGGGGGCCACAGCCCTTGCTGCTCAATCACATCTAATGAGAGAAAGGGAGGAATGCAATGACTAGAAGCTTCAGTATGACAAAAACCTATACATGCAAATTTTTTCATCTCTATGTATGAAATTCTGTGATACACTGCAAATAACAATTAATTCATTTCTATCATTTTATACCTGTCAGAAAATTAACTTTTATATTCTTATTTTTAATTTAAAATTGATCCTTTCACAAAATTATTTTTTGACTTCCCTGTGTAACATCTCCCCAGGCAGCTGAAATCCCACACTCTTCCTCCTCTGTTTTAAAACAAAAAGCCCTTTCTTACAACATGCTCTGAGAATTTTGGCATGTAGGAGGAAGATCTCGACAATGAGACCAGGGGATTATTGTTGTAGGTTGATTAGAGGTCAACCTCCAGGCTAAAAAGCTGATATATATCCTTTGGTAGTATCCAGAGAGATCCGACCCGCTTAGCCAAACCATAATGAAAGGGGGATTTCAGAAATCCAAACTTAATTTTTTGGGGGGGTGTATTTTCTCTTATATTGCAAATGTCATATCATCAAATAAAAAAACAACAACATTAATTTTGAGTGACTGTCTTGCTTTTCCCTTTAAGAGATTTATACATTTTATTTATTTTTTGTAATATGCCAACAATTGAAAGATAACTTCTATGCAAATGCTTCCCCGCAGGGTAGTTACTGTAGATCCATTTCCTTCCCAGGTGTTAGTCTGTGTGTTCTGGTTGATATACAGTATTAGTTTTCCCAGCAAGAACTTTGGGGTTCCACTTTTAGCACACTTGTTTCCCCCGCTTGCTAGTAGCATTCCCTACAGGACTTACAACAATGTGCAGTTATTATATATTTCTTGAAGTTTGTTTGCTATACTTGAGCCCTGTCATGCACAACTTTGTGCTGATTTAGCACAAAAAATTGATTAAAATACATTAAGGCTTTAGTTGTAAATGGAAAATATGTGAAAACTATTTGAGAATGGAAGCTTTCAGTACATAAAGGATGGGCTGACAAAGTTTCCTCCAATGACAGATTATGGTAAATTGCCTGTACGTATATAGTGTTTTTTCAAGTCAGGAGACTTGACCAAAGTCCTTTACGCTACATTTAGTCATTCACGCACACACTCACTGTGGAAAACTACATTTTAGCCACAGCTGGCCTGACGCTCACTGACAGAAGTGAGGCATACACTGGTGCCACCGGGCCCTCTTACCACCATCAGTAGACAATATGGGTGAAGCGTCTTGCCCAAGGACACAACAACACCGAAAGCCGTAGCCAGGGCTTGAACCATCAACCTTTCGATTTCAGGGTTAAATTCCTACCTCCGACCCCACTGTTGCCCTTTTATTACCTCTAAGTCATTTAATTTCCTATGGTCACTTCTGAATACATTGAAGTTAATTTTGAAATATGGTGTTAAATAGCTTGCAGGATTAATATTCTTAAACTTGTTAAAACTCTTATTTGCTTTTAATTAAATCTTGTTTGGGCATACCCAGGTGATGTGGGGCCGGATGAGCTGTAGGCTCGGAGGGCAGGACCACTAACTGGGCTGAGGGGTCCTGTGGCAGAGGAAGGACTGGCTGCAGAGGACCTGGCATTGCTGAAGAAAAACCTGGAGGAAGGTTCTGATGCAAGGGAGCATGACCTATACCCGCTGTAGAGAAAGGATTACAATAGAGATTACACTCATTTTACAATATATGTTATCAATTTTAAAGTAAACCACAAGGATAAAAGAGCGAAAATGACCAATTTAAAGACGGAAAGTACAATTTGTGGAGGCAAGATAAGAAGGAAAATAGATTAAACTTCTTTGAACTTTGCAAATTTAAAGTGAGTTTGTTTTTTTTACCATAGGAGTGCCCGGACATCCAGAGGGATGAACTTCCAGTTCTTGGCATCCAATGATGGTGAGCAGAATGAGCAGCAGGGTCTCCTAACTGGCCAGACTGAAGGGGAGTCCCACCAGGGACCATGAGATGAGAGGTGAGGTCTCCATGACAGCTGCTGGACGGATGGATCCTCGCAAACTCCACACGTTCTTTATTATCCCTATGATAAAAAAACAAAAAAAACACAGGGGATTTATTTGATAAATCACCATATAAGTACAAGTAATTTACAATTTTTTTAAATCAGTTTTTGGTGCGGTTATGAGATTTACATTAACATACCTGATGTACGCATCTCTTTCTCTATCCAGGCAAGTGAGACCCATTTGCTCTTCATTAATCCTCTTCCTTTCTTCCTCATTGGGATCCAAGGGATACATGGAGCGGGGCAGCCCTATGAGACAAATATGAAATACTCCTAATTCTCATCTTGTTGAAAATTCATCCATTTTATATACTAATTTATTTGAAGTGTAATGTTTTTAAAAGCTCTACACAGAGATAAGCAAACTGAAATAATCAACTTTGAACTTAATGACATATACTAATGCTTATTTTTGCAATAATTCAGCATGTGAATAAAATGTTGCTTTCTTCTAAATGTACTTTTTTTTTTCGTAAATCGCATGCTAAAATTTAAAAATTAAAATTCTCAACAAATAATTTTCAAGTAAACAACAGAAAGTTGTGAAAAGAGAAAAGTGGAGTTGACTTTTAAAAAGCCAGCCATTTTAAAACTAAAATATGATATTTTGTAGGGTAGTGTGTTCTTGTGATTATATTCAGCATCAAAATAAATGTTTTTACCCTTTTTTGAGTAGCTAAATAAGATAATCTGCTGGTGGAATTAGTATTTTTACCCTTAAAATAGGATAACTACATATCATTCACCTAAAATAAGGAACTAGAAAATTGTCTTATTTGATTGGCAAAGTGCCTCACTTACCTGCTCAATTCAAGAAAAAGTGCACTTCTTTTCAGGAAACTGACTTACTTAATTTCAATGTTATGCAGTTAAGATTTTGTTATGCCATTAAGTAATTGTAAAGCATGAAAAGCTGCACCCTCATTTTTTTCCTACATTAGAAATGTTGGTAAAAAGGAAAAAAAAAACAACCAATACAATTAATGAGTATTAAGGGTTCAATTAAGAATTTTCTGTCTTTGCAAGACTCAACTTTTGATACAGGGTATAGCATTGAAAAAGTACTAGAATAAATAATCCCATTGGAATTTAACAATAAAAGACAATGTATTTATCAATTTGGGTTTCATTTGTGTTTCAATATATAATATATATATATATATTAGTGCTGTCAATCGATTAAATTTTTATAATCGCGATTAATCGCATCAATGCCTGAGTTAACTCGCGATTAATCGCATTTTAATCGCACATTTTTTTCCTGATTGAAAATAATTTAAATACTCTCGATGACATACAAAAAAATACATACAGGCTAGGTTTGTGCCAATGTTCTTTTTTTAAAATGAAAACAGGTCACAGATACTGATTTATGCCAAAAATAACAAATATGTAGCCAAAAAAAGGCCCTGAAAACAGGCTGATGTAAAAGACAGTCTTTACAGTTAATACAGTCTTTTGAACAAAGACAAGCATTTTACCCTACTGCTATAAAATGCAGTAGTTAACATTAGATGTTAATTAACCAAGGTAATAATGAACAATTTTCAATCAATACATCAAAATCAATAGACCGACATCACTAGATGGAGGTAGTCTTTTCAGCCTCTTAACAAAAATGAGAACACACACACACACACGATACTGACCTGTGGCGTACACAGACGGCAAGAGTGCCGTAGCAGATTCCATTTCACCTCAGTAATCTGTTTTCTCAGCGTATTTCAGGTTGCTACTAGTTACCAGACACTCAACTTGTTTGTTGGTGGTGGGGCTTAAAGAAAAGGCACTAGCGCTACCCAGTGTATGAGCGTCTTTTTCCCTTGAGGAGGTCCGCTCTCGGAGCCTATGAGAAATGCATAGACTGGGGGAAAATAGCCCCGCCTTCCCGCAGGCTGCAGCGGGATGTACTTGGAAAATTGTACCATAAAACCACAAAGCGTTAATCTCACGTTAAAAAAATTATCGCCGTTAAAATGGCCTCGCGTTAACGCGATAATAACGCGATAATTTTGACAGCACTAATATATATATATATATATATATATATATATATATATATATATATATATATATATATATATATATATATATATATATATATATATATATATATATACAATACAGTTTCTTTGGTTTTTAAAATCCGTATGACTATATTGTTTAAGAATATATGCATTCACTACAAAACATCCTTGTTTCAACAATGTTCAAATATGTACCTATACTACTTGATTTATGCTTCATCTCTTTTTTATTCAATATGTTTTGCATCACTCTATTTTACCTTTCACAGAGTTATGTACTCGTGCCTGACGGCTGTTGGGGTGACTGTCTCCTGAACGGCATGGAGGCTCCCTTTGTCGGGCCACTGCCACTGCAATTCCCACCGGTGGCTGGCGCACTTCATTTTCACCATGACCAGCCTCACCCATTTCTCGGCTCCGTCCACTGTAATCAGCACGCTCGCCATCAGCCTGGACCTTCCTGGAAGGGAGAGTCTGCTTGTTGCCCTGGAGGGCACAACTTCCTCCTGCTGGACCTGATTTGAGACTTCCCAGGCCTCCAAATGGGCTCTTCTGAGAGAGAAGTAATGGCTGTTGCTGGTTGCTGTATTTCAGCAGGCTCTTCATGGCACTGCTCTCACCCTGAGTTGGACCCTGGGGGTCCACCTGCTGTTGCGGCTGTTGCTGAGCATGAGTGGGTGCATTTGGGGGCTGTGGAGGAGGGAGGCCTAATCCTTGCTGCTGCTGCAATTGTTGGTGCTGCCCACCTGGGCCTCCTAACTCCATGTAGGACCTCCTCTGTTCCTCCTCAGGTTGTGATATATGATGGGGAGGCCTCATGCCCCAAGGAGGTACTGGAGGTTGTTGCTGATGGTGGTGTTGCCCACTACTGTTGTTATAACCATAAGGAGACATGTCCATCTTTCTTTTAAGCTCCTGACTGTTATTCTGATTCATCTCAGCTGGAGAGGGGGCGTCTGGGCCAGATCTCCCATGCTGCTGGTGACGAATCCTCGCTACCTTTTGGCCTTCTCTCTGTAAGGAGCAGCTGCCTCCAGAAGCATGAGCTGCTCCACCCCCTGCATGTTGTCCCATGTTTTTGTTTCCAAGTGGGGAAGAATTAGGTGGAGGTCCCTGATGGGAACAGTCTCTGTAAGGAGAGGAGTTGACAGAATGAGGGACAGAGTGCCCTGCTTTTGGTCCCTGGGAAAGTGTAGGTCTAAACACATCCATGTCCACCGAACTGTTAATACACTCTGCACTCCGGGATCGGACCACTTGGTGCTGTTGTTGAGACTGGGGTGTTTTTTGTTGTTGTTGCTGCTGCTGGGGTTGGAGAGAAATCTGTGAGGACTGAACATGTTGATGGTGAGACTGCATCCAATCTACAGGCTTCTCTGTCTTTCTGTATGGATGTTGTTGCTGTTTTCTCTGCCAGTTACTATGATGCCCACTACCATTCTTTTCTATTGTTTTGTCCTTGGAATTGGTACCTCCTCCGTTTCCAATTCCATGGCAGTCAGGGGTACCAAGCTGAAATGGTCCATTTGATTTGTCCCCTAGATCTGCCACAGGTGAAACAAACGTTGGCCCTGTAACCTTAGGCTCCCGTCCTATATTGATTGACCCCCTATCTTGAGAGGCAGAGTTGGCCAAAGGACCAGGTGGGGGTGGACAGAAAAAATCTGGATGGTGGTGCGTATGGTGGGAATGATGCGGATGGTGTGGATGGCTGGGGTGGAGTTGAAGGCAATGGAATCCCCCTGGATGAGGGTGTGAATGGGGGTGAGCGTGAGGGTGGGTATGACTGTGTGCTCCTCCAGTTGCAGAACCCATGTGCAAGGGTGGGGGTACCGAATAGGGCAGAGAGTGGTGAAGTGATGCCTGACCCCTTTCCAGACAATCAGAAGGCTGTTCACTAATCCTCATCTCACCACTTACTCCTTCTTTGGTGCAGCGCCCATTGCCATTGGACCCTATATGCCTCCCCTGGCTGTTACCCCCATCCCCCATTGATCGAAGGGTTGTGCCCTCTCCACCACAGCTTGGCAAGGAGACTTTTGACCCTGTTGTGGCTCCTGCATCTCCATTTGGCATCTTGCCATTATGTAAGCAAGCACTAAGGGGCTTGCTCATATTCTGATTGTGATCTTTAGTGTACTCCATTGTGAGCGATGCTTTGTGTCTCTCCAGGGCTCTACTATTGACCTCCTCTAAAGGCAGTGGATGCTGTGAATAGTGAGGCTGCTGCTGATGGGTGTGAGAATGATGGAGATGTGTGGTCTGGGGTGTCTGGTGGTTCTGGTGCTGCTGTTGTTGCTGTCGCTCTTTAGCATCTTGTTTACTGCTCGACCTTTCCTTGTCTTTGACAGGTACTACTCTCTCCATTGATCCCTCTTTAAGACCTTTAGGAATACCTGTCCCTATGCCTTGATCTCTGTCCCTGTTGCAGGACCCCTGAGAGTGTCCCGAACCTGTCCTAGACATTGATGGCAGGCTGTGGTTGGCTGAGATGAGAGATGGCTGGGATGGGAGACCCCGCAGGTAAAAGTTTTCTGGAAATGGATAAAAGAAAGATTAGCAAGAAAAACAGCATTATATGAATAATCTGTATTCTTTAAAATCACTGTATTAGCACTCTATTTTGTATCTTACCTTTTTGTGTATCATAAAAACGATGCTGCCCATAGAGAACACCACCATTGGCATGGTGATCTAAGTGGCTCATTGGAAGGAAAGTGTGGGCCAGACTCCCTGAAAACCGAGGATATCCTGGACCTAAGGGAGAAACGGAAAGAGACCGTTGATAACAAATGACAGCAGCTACCGTGATGGAGTTATATGCAGTAATCCTTTGGGCCCAGTGCAGCTGCTGGTGTTCATACGCAAATAAGTACTGGCTATGCTTCTAATGTTTGCTTTTCCTGCTTGAGTTAAGCAATTAGATAATGAAAGAAAAGCTCTGGGATTGTCGTAGTATGACATTTTTCTTTGAGACATATGGCTCATTCAGTGTTCTGCCGTGAGAACCAACAGGAGCATGTACACACATCTTAGTGTAGTGATAAGGGTGGATTTTAGGCTTGTGTTATCAGAGAGCTGGTTCTCTATAATTCTTAATAACCTAGTTTAGAGGTAAAATGGTGTCAGGATCTTGATTCTATAAGCCAGTACACCTGCACTCTTTAAATCAAGGCCATCTGGGGGATGATTAAACCAGCACCACAGAAAAACAATTATTTTCTAAATAAGACACTGGAGGGCACAAAGGACTTTGAGGGTGGAGAAGAGCGAGAATATGGACTGAGATGAAAGCTCATTCGCAATATTAAGACAGGCATCACTATGACAACACTGCTGTAACTGGGTAACTACGGCCTCTGAACACATCAATGCAAATTAAATTACCCTATTTACATGAGTGTATAAATAGGGATTTAAAAATAGATTTAAAAATATAATCTACAAACTGCTACAATAACAACGTGGGATCTGTTTAAAGTTTTGTTAACGTTTGATGGCAGATTTAAATAAAAACAAAAAAAATACCAATGAAGTTTTCAGGCGCTTTTGAAATGACAGTTAGTAAAACATTCACTCATCATTGGCATTAATGCACTACAATTTGGGGGCCTTTAATTATGCATTCAGCCATTCATCTTTGCATTGCAAACAACAAAGAACCTCAATCAATTCATCTAACATGAAGCTTGCACAAGTCTTTAATTACCATAGATTTTCTCTAACCCAAACTATCTATACAGGCTCAAATGTATGACTACACCCCGACTAATATTTAGATAAATTAAATAAAACACACAAAGTTGCACCTGAACCACTTCTAGCATAATTCTCTCTAAATATCTGCACTCTCATCTCAGCAATATTGGAAGAGCTGAATCTCAACCAATGTGTTTGCACAGAAAATATTTGTAAGCGTTTTCAAACATTTGCATTGAAGTCCTGAAGAGGACATAAGCTAAATGCTATTCAAAAAGAAGTTGAGATTAATATCAACGTTGTCTGAAAGGAATTTAGCCACCAATGATGCCAGTGTGAAAACAATCAATACTTCAAAGTAAATTAAAATATATATATGGACATTTTGACAAGTCGAAGCCATCTTTAAAATATTTCATGTTCATTTGGAGAAGATTAACAGAAGTCTGCAGCTAAATCTTGAGATGTTTGATGGAGACCAGGCAAAGTTTTCAAACACGAAAACACAATTCCAGCTTTTAAGCTTGGTGGTGGTAGTATCATGATGAGGTTCAGGTGCATTGCCAATAGTAGTGGTTAACTCCACCAGGTCAATGTAATGATGAAAGACTACCAACAAATGATTTACCTTTCACTTAACTCAAAATGTAGAGATTTGATTCACTTTGTCTTCCAAAGGACCAGTAATGCCAGTGTTGAGAGCTGGAGAAGTTCCACCTTTCTCCAGCAGAGTCCGCCGTGGATCCTTCTGAGTGAGCCTCCTGCACAGCTGCAGCCCATCAAGATCATCAGAGGATCCACTATATAAGCTGTCTTCAGACCTTGCCTCAACGCCGCAGTGTTGATCCAGTTGGTCAGCGCCTAAGCCTAGACTCTCAGTGAATCTTTGTTACTTTGAATCCAGCCTGGATTCTAACCGTTGTCTCTATCTTCCAGGAAACCAGTGTCTCCTCTGTGAAGCTCTGGAAGAGCTAACCTGCCGAGCCGACCCTCAGAGCCAAACCCGAAGAACCACAGTGAACTTCCATGCAGCTCAGGACTAAGAGCTGGAAAACCATAAGTCAAGGTCTGCTCAGTACTAGATGTAAGACGCTGAAGCAGCAAGCGGACTCTGCTGATCAACTCCTCTCCAGATCCAACAGTGACCCTCCCAAAGCTAACCTCAAGAACCCTCAAGGTACAATCAGTAATAATCAAGAAAGCAAGCTCCATCGTACAACGCTAACTGAACTGTCTCTCACGCAGACTCCGGTGAACCAGTATCCAGGCCCGAACCAGAACCAGTATTATCAGTGTGCTTGTGTTCAAATAAACTTGTTGAACTTTTATTCCTGTGTCCGTCAGTGGTGTTCTGCATAATTGGGTCACTCTTAGAGTACCCATCATGACAGCCAGACCACATTCAGAAAAAATTTTTATGCATAAAACCAGAGTCAAATTAGGCTTCTGGAATTAAAGGTTGCTGATAAACAATATGGTCAAATATCTTGGCAAAAGTATGCCAGAGGGTCACTAGTGGCAGCAAAAAGCATATATCTGTAGTCTGAGTTGCTGAGCGACATTAATTTAGATATAAGTTTTTGCATGCATTTTAATGTCTGCGTCAGAAGATTCTTTTTAATCTTCAAATTGTGCAATTAAAACCTGATCCTTGAACTGACAGCATTTACTTGTTTTATTATAAAACTAACCTAACAAAAGCTTTGCTCAAATGCATCAGTAACAACTAGACATGAATATCACATTCATATCCGTGATGACGGAGTGTAAACTTCAGACTTCAAGAGACCCACATAAGATATCACTTTTTCTGGCCTCTTTTTTATAAGGCAGAGTGAATGTACAGCGAGGAACAGAAACAGAATTAAATCTTTGTCAGTTAAATTAAGGACAGATCTCTTTCTTAACCTGCATGCAACCTCATTTAGAGAAGCAGTAATACAGTTCATGTGGCCTTGTCCCTAGCTGGGCAAAGCCTTTTTTCTCCTTAAATCCAGTCCTGGGTGTTGATTATCTTCCTATTTGACATAGGAACAATGCAGCTGGAGCTAAGAGCTGGCTCAGGAGAGGGAGGAGTGTTGTGGTCGGCTTAATGACCTTGCCTCATTGCAGCCCCTTGCTTCCTCCAATCTTAATTAATGAAATTCACAGAGAGTGCAAACAGCAGGACAATAACACAGGAGGTGCAGTTTTCTGTAGGGCTGGGTATTGTTAAAAAAATTTCGGTTCCGGTACCAATACCGATACCTTCACTTCGATACCGGTTCCTGAACGATACTTTTTTCGATACCAGTTTTATAATATCAATTCGAAAAAAAAGAAAATTACACAACATAAAAAAGTACAAATCTTGAGTTTTATTTTAAGCTCTGTTTTTCCATTTACATTTTTCCTCTACATTTTTCGATACTCTGTAGAACCGAAGCATTTCGGTCGGTACCATAAAAGTACCGAAGTTCGGTACCCAGCCCTAGTTTTCTGTGTAGGGTGATGGCCATAATTGTATACCGTCATCCTTTCTTTAATTCTTCCATTGCTTCAATGCCTTTTTTTCTACTACATACACTCTTTACCATCTTCCTTTGTGTTTTTTTTGGCTGTCATGATTAATAAGCATCCACATTTATCCCAATTCATCAACTGAGGTGGGGGAGGAAGGATCCTTTGTTTATGCAAGACATTTTCCTCTGATTTTCAAGGTAGGGAAAAGCAGAGCGCTGTTCGCCAGCCTTTATCCAAGCTAGGAGAGCGCCTTTTTTCTCCAGCCGCATGTTGTTTGTGAGCGTAACGATTGACAGCATAATCCCTTTTCACAGTGTGGTCTGGCTTTGCCCGATAATGCCAGCCTGCTCGGTTTCAACGTACCCTCCAATGGGACAGCAAGGGGGAGACTGTTGGGCATGGTGGAGCCCATTCAGCCCATTAATCTCCCTAGAACAAGAGAAGCTGCTGCTGCTGCTGCTGCAGGTGACTTGAGAAGGGTCTTAGTGCATTCTGCTGACTGCACAGCAGCCGGGAACTCTCCACATACACATGCGCAAACAGAAACATGTCAGCATCAGCAAGTAAATGACAGAGGGAGTTAACAGTGCATGCCTTTCATTCTGTGGAGGGAGCAGAGGCAAGAGAAGAGGCAAGCTGAATCCCTTTTAGTGAACATCTAAAAGATAAATCTTAAATTATGCTGGCAAAAAGGATAAAGAGAAAAGGTTAAGTTTAATTCAGTAATTTAATATGCATTTTTCCTATTTTTTTTTTTTATAAAATGTTTAAGATATACATAAACATTTCTAAACATATCTTAAAAGCATTGAGTCATTAGGTTCCGTTCAAAAATCTAATGGTTCCATCTCAGAAATCGGCTTCTAAAAACAAAGCATTATACTTTTTTATATAAAAGAGAAAAAGCACAGTTCACAAGTAAAAGAAAGAAAACTGCCCTAATTCTCTCAAGATAGACTTCAATGCATTGATTATTTAGTATCAGACATTTAGCAATTAATACCTATTAATTTCTAAAACACCAACAAAACATCTATGAAAAATTTGCATCTTGCTCTTTGTATATGGGAAGGAGTTTGCAGTGGCAGCAGGATAATTCAATATTTTTTTTTTTGTGCAATCTAATTTAATCGGTTATGGACAAAACTAACAAATAGAGATATTCTCATGTTTTATCTTAGCATTTTAATCTTCTGCTAAACTAGCCCATGATCAAGACTACGAGAGAGGTCCCCAATACAATTATAAGACAGACAAAATACTATGACAGTAATAAACTTAAAATCGCACCTATATATTCTAATTATATTATATTGGCACACCAAGTTATTTGTCATTTTTGGGTGCATTTTTCAATGCCCGCCCCCTCTCTATTGTCATGAAATGGTTTAGTCCACCTGCTTTGCCTCTGTTACAAAGCTGCAGACCACATTTTATAGACAACGAATGGGGGCAGAGATGACAAGATGCAGCAATCAGAGAACCAAAAGAAGGAGAGAGAAAATGCTCTGACAAGAGGAAAATGTAAAGGGTAGATGGTATGTCACCTAGTTCTA